ATTTACAACTTTATATATCTTAATTTTTAATTGATCTCTATATTGTAAAATAATCTATATTATATATATATATATATATATATATATAACAATGAACAGGTAATAAATGATTATTGCCTAATGTGTACATTAAAAGATACGCACCAAATGAAAAAACGCATTCATTAAATATACCCAAAATGGACAAACGAAATTTTGAAATTTTCTTCACATTTTTAAATTTTAGATAATTTCTAATTAATCGGTAACTGTAAAAAGTAATCAATTTTTTTACTATCGTTACATTTGAAGATTGGTTCAATGAAAGCACTAAATCGAAAATCTAGTTTGTATTAATCGAATGTTTTTTAAATAATATATATAAATTTATATATATATATATATATATATATATATATATATATAACAATGTGTGTGTATTGTGTGTGTGTGTGTGTGTGTGTGTGTGTGAAAATATATAGAAAATAGGAAGGAACTGGTTAGGTAAATAATCCAAAGTCCCTTAGTATTTTAGTTATTATTTTTAAAAAATAGTGCTCGATACAAAAGTAGAGCATAAATATAATTATTTATTTAAAATATGATTCCAAATCGCGACATAAGAATGAAAATGTTTCAAAAAAATTAGCCATAAAAATTCTTAATAAAATAAATTGAGTTGAATTATTTTTGAAATTATTTTTCAGTAATTAAATAATTATCTGAAGTTAAGGTTAATTGTTTTGAAAGGAAATAAATTTTCTTAATCCGAAAAATATTTTTAAATATAATAATTATATATATATATATATATATATATATATATATATATATATATATATATATATATATATATATTTATGCATGTTTCATTAAAAACGACAGACAAGGTACTACGATTAAGGTTTTTATTTAATTTTTCTTGTGTTCGAAGAAGTGCTTTCATTTCTGGACACAGTGTGTAGAAACTGTCCAAATGTTCTATAGTTTCAGCTATACTTTTAACCATTATCAATGATGATTTTAGTTTTTCAGTTGAGTGTGTGCGTTATGTGTATGCTTTTAGTGTGTTATAGAGGTGTTTTATTTCCCGAATACAGTTAGCACATTTTGGCCGTGTTCGGAAACAATATTGTTAAATGTTGGCTTTTTTTTCATTTTTATTAGGGTTTCCATTATTTTTAATCATTTATTTCCGGGTGGATGAGGTTATTATGTTTGTATTTTCTACTAGTATGTTTCGGATGGAGCCTGGTAAGTGTGTGGTGTTGAAATGGGTTCTAATTGAGCTATGATCAGGTGTAAGGCGTCTGGATAGGCATGTAGTTGTGCGTCCGATGTAATTATTTATGAGTTCAGTTTGATCAGGAACACAGTTCCTTAAAGGGCATTTCAACTCATAGATAATGTTCATTCGTTGTAATCTTGACTTTGCCGGTGTGTTGCTATATTGAGCATAAGGTTAGCTGTTTTAATTTTTTTGTAGTAGATAATTAATTTGATTTTTTTTTTAACTCGGGTCAATTTAGATAGTGTATTTCTTTATAATATTTCTAAGTGAAGATTCATCTTGTTTGAAGCTAATGTGCATTGGTTTTTGTAGAAAATATTTATGTAATTTTTGATTGTATGTTAACTATCATTGTTATTTACTTTGGGGAGAAATAGTCTAATTTGATGGTCTATAAGGTGGTTAGGGAAGCCATTATTAATTAGTGTCTCTTTTGCATTATTGAGTTCTTTAAGGAAGAGTAGTCGAGGATTGTTTATATGGGTGTGCATGAAGAAAATGCGTACTCCTGGATGTAAGTGTCTGTGTCTATGAGAGTGGCATCCCGAGTAAGTACGGAAGGAAATTCCTCCACCCATCACCAAACATAGTCAAACAAGCATAAATAGATTCAACTAAAAATAAATTAGTTTGTCTGATGATTGCAAAAGCATGAAACCAGGGTCAACACACACACATTTTATTTAAATATATATATATATATATATATATATATATATATTTATATAGAGACAAGAGAGAGAGAGAGAGAGTAGATAAGATGGTCAATAAACTAAATGTTTATCATGTTATCTTTTAAGCTGAAATCCATTA